ACTGTGGGTATAAACTCGACATCAAGTATTGCTTTTCATTTTCTAAGGCAGGTTGCTTCCCAAATAATGTCTGTCATGCAACTCAGCTTAACTATCAAACAGTGCATCCCAGAGAACACATTTCAAAGGGTTCAATTGTACATGTCCTATGCTGTATTGCTAGTTGTAAATATGCATTTCATATTAACCTTGCAGTGGCAGTCAGTATCCAGGACCTTGTGTGCGTGTGTTTAGATAGAGAGAGAGAGAGAGAGAGAGAGAGAGAGAGAAGTGAATTTTAGGCACCAGAACAGTAACCTGTTCAGTGATTCCATAAACTATCTAGACTATTGCAGTATGATGGTGGGAATTATAGTCTATTCATCTTGAGTGCACCAGATTGAAGAAGGACAATTTGGAACTTCCCATAGAAGTTAGTGTCCTTGGTTTATTTGTGTCCCCCTCCCCATGCAAGAATAATAAAATATATAAAACTAACCCTGATGGAATCATATGTATTAGTCTCTGAAGATTGCCCCCCTCCCCCCAGTTTTACATAGAGCAAATCTAGAATGGTCTGCTCAGTTATGAGTGAGCTCTGTTGAGTTGACTGGTTCTTTCTCCCAAGTCAATGAGGATTGTTTATAGTGTTTATATACCACACAACTGGCAATGCCCGGTTTATACATATGAAAACAGAAACAGTAATTTAAGTCACACATGTCATAATGAAACAAGTAAGTCAGTGAAAATAAAATCAACATGTTTAAATATTAAATGTCTAATATATTTAAATTGTTCTAAGAGCCAGCAAGAAAACCTAAATGGGAGAGTCAGCTGTAAAAATGACAATGTCTTTTGAAGAAATAACAAATTAGTCTAGTGTCTATATGCTGACAAAGAGCATGTTGGACAGATGTCTTTGGGGAGGGTGTACCATAGGAGGAAGGACCATTACTTGAGATATCCCTGGTAGCACATTGCAGTAGAGTCATGGAGGCTAGGATCATGGCCATGTTCTAAGTGGTAGGAAAGGCATGAAGAAATCGAAATTTGAGACAGCCTGTATACACACATAATAACAAAAATGGAGCTTGGGAAATTTCTCATGTACTAGATAATTCAGACATCCACAATTTGTGAAGATACTTCAGCAAAGTATATTCTAGAAGCATTTCTAGTATAGTAGCTAGCCCTGACATTGTTCCATAATAACTTGCAGTTCAGTACACTCTATATGTCTTTGAATGTCTTTGTGTGCACACCTAAATTCTTATCTGTGGAATTCAGCTCTTGAACAGATATTGCTTCTTTAGAACCACCTTTAGTATTGTCTATATAGTACCCTGTTTCCCTGAAAATAAGCCCTAGTATGATTTTTCAAGGTGCTCATAATATAAACTCTACCCAAAAATAAGCCCCAGTTGAGTGAAACCTTGCCCTCCACCATTGTGCAGCAGCCAGAAGATGACATGACTGTATTTGAATAAATGTAGATAGTTGTACATGAAAAAACATAAAACATCCCCTGAAAATAAACCTTAATGTGTTTTTTGGAGCAAAAACTAATATAAGACTCAGACTCATTTTCGGGGAAACACGGTATATTTATTCTTTTCTTAAACAACTAGGTCCAGAATCTGCCAGCCAGCATTGGACAGTTACTGCATGTTGCTTGCCATACTGGCTGCCCCGCCCCTAGGAGCTGTAGTCCAAAAAATAACTTTTTCTAGCCCTGATTTCATATTATATATATTTTCTTCTTCCATTGAATTTACATTGTTGAGTGTTGCTGTTCTCAAGCAGATGAATGGTGGACATAATGTTTACAAATCAACTAGCTTTTCTTATTATTCTCTTTCCTTTTTAAAAATACAGTACGGAAAATTCTTTAATCTTATCCAGTCTGGATAAGGTATAATTTTATTCATTGTATTTTTTTTTCAGTTTATTATGTTTAGTGATCATTTTGGAGACTTTCTGGTCTTTGTGGGATTGTAGCTTCTTGAGTAACTTCAGCAAACATAGTCACTTAATTGCTCAGTCCAACTCCAGGTCATTTAGAGAAGATTTATATAGCAATGATTTCAGTAAAGAGCCACGAGGGACCACACATCTCTCCAATGTGAGAACTGTCAGTTTATTCCTATTTTCTGCTTATTTGTTTGTTTGTTTGTTTAAAAAATGTATCAACAGCACATTCACCCCCAAAGGAAACTTCAGGGCAATGTACATCCTGCTCAAACATAAAGTGCAATGAAAACAAGATAACAAACAACCATGTATACAGTCAAAACTATTTCAGCCAGCCAAACAACAAGAAACATATTTTTGAAGGCTTGGATCCTGTTGGGTTGAACTGATGGTGCAATTCTTCCAGGTTATTCTTGCACAGGCATAAACTGACCCTTTGTAATGGAGATTTCATTAGGGCACTAACACTGTTTCCACAAATGGAGATCACATGTTACTGTGATGTTGGGGGTTACATTTTGCTGGTGCTGAACAGGATCCTAGCCAAAATGATTGAGCAATTAGATTTTAACCTTGCGCCAAAAACAGCATAATGCTTGCACCAGGTGTACTACTGCAGGAGAACATTACAAAGTCACAGTAGCGGCCCTTGCTTTTTAGAGAAGATAGTTCTCTTATGGAAGGAAAACAGAGGAGATTTTCTCTGCTGATGTTAATGCACAGCTTGTCCTTACTTTGGTATTCTTAAATTTATTTTAAAAGTTTTTAGAGAACGTGTGTAAGGTAACCACATAGTTTATAGGCATGGACTTACTGCATCTCATTATTCGGGATGCAGAATCCCTAGAGGACTGGACCATATGTAATAATGGATAAACTGTCCTCAGAATCAATGAAATTGAAAGAGGACATCTGGAAAACTCCAGGGGGACCAGGTTTAGATCCTAGAAGGCCATATGCAGTTGTGGAATCTGAGGTTACCCATTCCAGCCTAGGGTTTACCTCTCCTTTTTTTTCTCCCCATTGTGGAAGAGCAAGTGTCTAGGTTCTGCCATGTGGTGGAGCTAGAAACACTCCTGTTAGAAGGTAAAGGTTCCCCTTGACATTCAGTCCAGTCATCTCCGACTCTAGGGGGCAGTGCTCATCCCCGTTTCCAAGCCGTAGAGCCAGCGTTTGTCCGAAAACAGTTTCTGTTGTCACGTGGCCAGTACGACGAGACACGGAACATCATTATCTTCCCACTGTGGTGATACTTATTTATCTACTCGCATTTGCATGCTTTCGAACTGCTAGGTTGGCAGGAGCTGGGACAAGCAACAGGAGCTCAATCCATTGTGTGGATTCGATCTTACTACTGCTGGTCTGCTGACCTTGCAGCACAGAGGCTTCTGCGGTTTAACCTGCAGCGCTACCACGTCCCTGCTAGAAACATATGGTGAAATAGTTCATGGAACTATGGATCATGGTCTATCTTTATGTTAATCCTATATGTACACTATACTGCTGGCGTTACAAATTGCATTATCATACTTAAGTATGGAATTGTGGGTTTTTAAATTAAAATCCAGAATCCTTTACTGGATCAGACCTTGCTGAAGTAGAGAAGAGAGAATCCCTGCCTCTGTAGCAACTTAGCTAATAAATATATAAAAGCCTATATATATTTTCTTCTGCATAGTTGTGGTCACCATCACCAGACAGAAATGGGAGAAGTATTAGATCTGTCACTTTGTGTAGAATGAACATGACGAATTGTTTGCTCTGTAAAATTCAGTTGGAAACTTGTTTAATGCCACTGCCCAAGAACAACAACACTGAGAAAACTTCACCATAGATCTGTATCATGGCTTGTTTGCTTCTTAATAGTTTATGTTTTAGAATTCTTTGTTAGATTTGTAATGGTGTACATTTTAGAAAATAAAATAGGTTTCTAGGCAGATAAGTTTAGGTTAGTGTAAGTTCAAGTGGGTCACAGTATTCTTAACTCTACATTACTGTTTGGGTACTATAGGACACAACATTGGATTTGTGAATAATGTTGGAGAAAGAATGTGTCTTCTTTCATCTGAAACATAACACGTGCCTGGCAAAGCATTTGTCATCTGAAGATATACGTATACCAATAGATATACAGTATCTGATCCAGCATACAATAATGATCATGTGTTGTCAAGTCAATTCTGACTTATGATGACTCTTTTGAGGGTTTCCCAGGTAGAGAAGACTCAGAAGTAGTTTACCATTCCCTTCTTCTTGAGGGCACCCTGGGACAGTATAGCTTGCCCAAGGCCACACAGGCTTGGGCATCGTGGGGAATAGAATTTCTGACAACTGGCTGTGCAGCCAGATATCTACACCACTAAGCTATCCAGCCAGCTCAGTGGATCTTTATTTTGAAGATCCAGCAAAAGGCCACTGTATACTAGCATGAAAATAAAGTGCTGCCTTATAATAGCTCTGGCCATCATTTAATCTGTTCCATCTAGTCCACTTACTGGATATCTACTCTTGCAGTGACATAGACGTCTGGCAAGCTACCCAAGCTAACCTATGTAGTATCTGATGCCCAGCTTGCCTCTGAGTTCTGAGAAGAAGGGAAGCTACAGACATGCAGAATTAAAGTAATATTTTCTGATTTCTGTTTCTAAAACTCTGTTAAATTAAGGACTTCATAAAATCTTACCTGAATACTTTCTAGATTTGAATCTTAGGCCACCACAGTTCTTGGGCTTTCGGCATATCTGATAAATTAATTTTGAAGATATTAATGCAATTTTAATTTATAAAAGCCAAGCACATTTATAGGAATCAGTTGCATGTTTATAATTACACCAGAATTGTCGACATTTTCCAGAAGATCGATACGATTATAAGAAGGTAATTGTGTAACACTCTTAAGGAAAACAGTGGATAGATCTCTACAAATCCGTAAATAGTTGCCATGCCATTGCTTTCCATAGTGAAAGTTTCAGTGTCGAAACGTGTCAGTGTAATCCTGCTTTCTGTCATAAGCAGTGAAAAATGCTGTCTTTTCTTTCGTTTTGCAGACTCAATGCACATAGAAGATGTTGAAGCAGTTCAGAAACTTCAAGATGTCTTACACGAAGCCCTTCAGGATTATGAGGCTGGACAGCATATGGAAGATCCACGCAGAGCCGGCAAGATGTTGATGACGCTGCCCCTTCTGAGGCAAACCTCCACTAAGGCTGTGCAACATTTCTACAACATCAAACTGGAAGGCAAAGTCCCTATGCACAAACTTTTTTTGGAAATGCTGGAGGCCAAGGTGTGACCAAAGTATCCCCATGCCTTCCAGTTGAGTGCACTGAAATTTTAACGAAAGGGAAACTAAAACAGGAAAACCATGACAAAGAAACTTTAGCGTTGAAATTAAGGAAAATAACATGACTGCACTGATACTGAGCAGCAAGACCGAGAAGCAGCACCTCTTTATATTCTGTGTCTTTCCCGATGCAGTTTTCCTTCTTCATTTCTCTCTTCTTTTACTGTTTTTATTTCTCTTGTCTTTGTAATTTTTCCCCCTTTGCTGCTGAATATTTTAAGAAGAGGTCTCTAATAGAACAGAGATGGAAGCCAGGCCTGCCAAAGGATGAAAATCCATAATATGGATGCCAGTGAACTTATTACGAACCACAATACCCCAATGACAAAGGAATCGAAAGAGAACCATCGTAACTAGCAGTACAGTACAACACGATGAACTGATTGAATGCAGTATTAGGTTTCACAAGAGCAGCCTCTAATTAGATGACTTCGATGACGATGCATTGGCTGCTTCTTATCATTGCATTTCCATCTAGATCAGTTACAGCCATCTGATTCCTTAATTGTTTTTTCAAGTCTTCCAGATATTTCTTAGGTTAGCTACAATGTAACTTTTTCAGGGAATAGTTTAAGCTTTATTCATTCATGCAATACTAAAGAGGAAAGATAAATAAATAAATAAATACTGCATTTTTGTTCTGTCTTGAACAATGATGAACAATTAAATGAAGGACAAATGAATCCTGAAGGAAGATTTTTTAAAAAAAACAAATATTTCAGTTCTTCTTACTAACAGAAGATTTTTTTCTACCAGCTTTACCACTTTTCAGCCATTTGTTAACATGGGAATTTATCTTACTCAAGCAATAGTTGAAGGGAAGGTGCATATTATCACGGATGCAATTTATGTTGTTGTGCCAGTCTGGTCCAAGACATCCCATTTCTTTGCATGAGCTCCAGTTTATACTGAAGTGTTCACTGAAACCAAGGATTAGATTACACCTGCAATATATCTGAGTAGTCTAATATATTCAGATACCACGTCAAATAGGAGTTGGAAAAGGAGTTAACAAGTATTTCTGTTTGGCCAAGGTATGATTGCTACATGATATTAATTAAAGCTACAGTTTTCCTATACAAAACCATAGACTTTGAAATACTTTCACCACACCCCAGCTAGCAATAAAGTAAGATCAGATATCAAAATAGTCAGCTTCCAACCAAATCAGGAATTTAACACTTGTTATACATTATTTATTAATTTATTAAACATTTATTGGGGTAGATTGCCACTTTCAAGCAAACAGCCTAACCAGTATATTGCTTTTTCAACCAGTGTTGTCAGGGTGTGAAAGTTGGTCAGTTCGAAGACTGTTACGAGGTGTAATCTAATGTATAAACCAATTAGATGTCCCCAGAAAACTACAGTCGCTAAATAACCAGTAAACAATAACCGCCATCAAATGCTATACCAATGTACCAGTGTTAGTAGCTGCTCCCTGTACTATGTGAACAACCTTATTCTATGTACACAAATGTAATTAAAATTGTAATCCTAACAAACAAAAGAAATGTAGTTCAGCTTTTCAATGTTTCATGTTTGCTGTGCTTTTTGGAATTCTTTATGTTGCATTCAAAGACTGTTGTCTTGTTCTTGTGGTGTTTGGATTCTTGTGGTGTGTGCTTATAGACACAGGGTAGAATTAGAGACAATATTGGATGTAAAATTCCTCAGGAGACTTACAGTAGTATATTCTAATCCTTCTGGTAATAAGGTTCTTCCTAGTAATAATTAAGAAATTGAAAAGTAAAATCCAACCAAGTACTCATTATGAACAGATACACACTGAAATCATAATATTTTCAAAACAAGGAATAATTTCTGTAACAGTTTATTATAGAATACCTATGTATAGCTTAGAAATAAAACTTTGACTATTTCAAGATTATAGATAAGTCTAATTTTTAAATGCTGTAAATACGGCTTTCATCCAGTCATCTCTCAGATGTTAACTTGCTCTGTGTTGTTGCAAAAACTTTTTTTAAATGCAAACACGTTTTGAAAATTATCGCTACTTGTGTGCTTTAAACAAAATACAGTAGGTTGATGTTAACATCAGCCTTGTGCTAGAAATACTGTGTATCTCTCATTAGCTATATGGGATTCTCTTGTAGATTGTGTTTTTTCTCAGTAGAGAAGTGACTGTCATGTGATCCTAGATAAATCATCATTAGCAATTCATTCAGTTGGCCAAGAACTTGAAATTAACAGTGTGGTAGGAGTTTGGAAATTGGCACATCCCTTTTGAAAAATGACAAAACTTTTACAACTCCTGGGGGTGGGGTGGGGAAATGGTGCTGATTCTGTAAAATTATTTATATATGTAAGAGTGCAGAATAATTATTTTCCAGAATATTTGTGCAGGGTTTAAGTTCCTAGTGTTAACAACACTATATATGTATATATAAATATCTAATATAAATATTGTTTTTGCTGTATCACATTGAACTTGGGTTTTCAGGGTCAATAACCAATCAACACACTCAGAAAGGGAAAAAACATACAAAGATCTAAGGAAGGTGGAATATGTGAAAGGAACATAGTGCAATTTCTACTTGAGTTTTCAGTAATTTTTTTAGAGCTGCAATGAACAAATATCTCGTGGCTGTACAAATATAAACTGAAACATAGATACATTGCACAAGCATTAGAATAGCATTCATCTTGAACCTTGCTGAGAGAAATTTTCACAACCACTTACTTAATGTGAAGTATTGGGGAAGATTTCAAGTATGTTTTAGTGTAACTAATTTCATTTGGAGGTATAAAATCCACATGGAATTTCTCCTGTGCAAGGAATTGAAATGAAAGGGTATGGCATGAGACATTCTCCGGTCTTTTTAGCTCTCCCATTCAGTTCAATGTGTAGAAGACATTTCAAGTGGATTGTACCCTGACCTCTTTTTTTCCCTTGTTTTCTTTCATTTTGTTTCTTATTTAAAGCAATATGATTGTGTGACTCCTGGAAGTTACACATTTGCTTCAATCAAACCAGATTGTTGTATTTATTCCACTATTTTGCATTTAAATGCTAACATAAAAAGATATAAAAAATTAAAACTGCTATTTTTCTTATGGAAGAGAAAATGGGTGTTGGTAATTGTATTTTAATTATTTAAGCGTCTCTGTTTACCTGCCTAGGAAAACACTTTATGGCAGTCTTATTGTGCAAAGATCACAAAAGAAGGGGGAAACTGAATTAAGCTGCTTGTTATAATCCAGGAGTTGCATAATAACCAGTAGTAAAAATACAAATTAAAAAAAAATCATGTCTATAGCTGTAGATGGGCTTCTCATCTGTAAAGCAATCAACTGTATATTTTTGTGATGTGTATCATACTGTGTGCTCCAACCAATGTCCATTTGTGTAAATGTATTTATTTTATATTGTATATATTGTTAAATGCAAAAAGGAGATATGGTTCTGTAACTCCAATCAGTTCAGATGTGTAACTCAAATTATGCCTTTCAGGATGATGGTAGAGCAATATTAAACAAGCTTCCACTTTTAATTGCTTTTAATTTTTTTTGTGTTGTGGATTTTGTTTTGTTTTGCTTTTTTTTTTCTTTTTCTTTCCCGTATCAAGGAATCAAATCAATAAGCACCACCTTGAGTAGATTGGTACGGATTTATACCCTTAAGCTAATGTAGCCGCATGGCTACATGCTATATAAAGACTTGTCAAAATGAATTTCAGTGTGGTATAGTCATTTTGTGCACTCTTAAATATGCAGACTGTCTCTTAGCACATTAGAATTCATTCTGACAAGCACTTCTTTAATCCTAAAACATCTTTACATCAAGCCACATTACCGAAAATCATTGCCTCTCTAGCAGCATCATGAAAGAAAAGTTCCCCGCGATTTTAAAATCATATTATTGCCATCTACAACTGGCTATTTGCTTTCTTCTTCAACAGCTGAATCCATTCCATTCCTTAAAACATGAATGGGTTTTTGCTAATTTAGTTCTGCTTATAAAAACTACAAGGGTTTTTTCCTCTTACCTTCAACATGATATCTGAATTGCAAGTCTTATAGCTAGAAGACTGATATAATGTAGATCGGTGTTAATGATGATGATCAATAGTAATTCTACAGAATCTTGATTTAAACGTACCAGGAAATAACAATTTAAGCTTGAATCAGAAAAGCTACAGAATCAGGTGCATCTGGGGCCATCACACAACTACTATTCTTTTCCACCTATCGGGAGAGCATCATGGCATTGTATTTCTTTAATATATTTCTCACCTTCGGTGGTAGTCATCCTCTAAAGAGCTGGTGTTAGGCAAAGGTTCCAAAAGACAAATGGTATCCACCTTCACCTGGCATTTGTCCCTCATCCCACTGTTAAGACCAGCTGTCAGGTTAGCTGTTAGTAGTGGGATGTTCTGTTCTAAGTAAGACGTGCCTTCAATGAAATTATGAATTCTAAGAACGCATGCCATTTGCACTCTCAGCAAGAGAAACCCGTAGAAGTGGTAGGCAGGAAATATTTAAAAAATATAACATGGTTATGGAGAGGTAAGAGCACTATAGATCTACATTTGACAGGGTGTTTTTCTCCTGTGTCCAGCCCATGTGTATTAAATGTTGAAACATGATTCCTGGCAATTATGATTAGTTGCCTTAATGCTGAGGAGATTTCAAACATATAGCAAAAATACTTGCTGGTAAACTTATTCTGTGTAGCTGTAGCTCATTTAGTACAGCAGGTGTGACACTCATCTATAATTAACACAAATCACTAATAAACTAGTTATTTTAATTATCTTTTTAACATAACTGTACACACTGCTATAGCAAAGGAACTTAAAGCCAGATTTCACGTTATGATCTGCTTCTGATTCTTAACTTGGATATAAAAACCTAACCATGGTTAAATAAAGACAACCATGATCGAGTATTATGCCTACATAATATCTTAGTCTTGAAGCAGAAACGTGAGATCATTGCAATAGAAAGCAGAAAAGTCACTATGAAAACCAGTGCTTAAACAAAGGAAATGGGTTTGCTATACATATTGCCCTTTACCTTCCATATGCTCTCTATTACAATAACATAACTTTCCACTAGCATAATGTTTTATGTCAGTAATTTGTATACCGTCCAATTTAGAAACATGCACTACTCTGGGCAGTTAACAAAAATATAAAGTAACCCTTCCAAACCCCAATAAATGTCTCTCCAATCCCAAATCAAGCCAAATTGAAATCCAGCACAAGACATACTGACACCAATCAGGTGACATTATGCAGATTAATGGTGGGGAGGAGAGAGAGAATATCTAAAAGCTTATTTGGACAGTTTAGTTTTAAATGACTTATTAAAGTCTGGGATGGAAGGGGGTCTCTTCTGGAATCCCATTTCAAAGAAATGGGGCCACTACCAAGAAGACTCAGTTCCTCAAAGAAACCTTCGTCACCTCCCTTTTGTGATACTTTTAATATACAAAACCACTAATTTTCCATAGAATCCTTAACTTTTATAAAGCCTTGCTATTTCTTCCACATGGAGATTAGCCTGGATTTTATATCATAAGAGCATCCTTGATGAATAGCTCCCCTTCTGGAATGTTTTTCTTTCTTAACGTATATTACAAATATTTATATGTTGCCTTTCTGTGAAGTATGTCCAAGATAGCTATACTGCAGTAAAAAACAGAAATTTATGAAGTAATTAAAACAATTAGATAATAGCAGAATATAAACCTGAAAAACAAAAATCAGTGAATAAAAGAAAATAAAATATTGATACGAACAATGGAAGCTTCATTATCCCAAGTCAGGCGATCCAGCCCAGCATTATTGACACTGAGCACCAAACTCTCCAGAGGAAGGATTCTTCTCCCAGACATTAATCTGTCTTCACATTAAAGATTCCAGGACTGAGACAGAGAACCTCTAATTGTAAAGTCTGTCCTCTATCTAGCTATGGAGAATGTATAAAAAAATAGTGTGGCTGACAGTGAATTATTAAGAGAGACCAAAGTCCTAGTCTGAACAGGATGTTTCTCACTTGGTAATGTGACAAAAAAAGTACCAGTGCTAGGATGAGGTGAACTGCTGAGGAGGTAATTCAACAAGCTTATGGCAGCCTTTTCAGAGCATGTATCAACATCATACCACACAGTGCATACAACTTATGAAGTGATGAAGCTCAGCAAGGCCCACATAATTTGGTGTGATCAGGAACTTAGTTTTAAATTTAATCAAAGAGCTGGCATCAGCATTGAAGATGAACTTGTATTCATGAAAGGGGGCTTAAGAGTCTGCGTTAATTCAAAATCAGTCTGCTAGCACCTTATTTCTCTTTCAACTCCTGATGTCCAATCGTGGTCTTGATTTTCTACAGCTGATTAGTTTTAAGCCAAGCAGCTAGACACTGGTGTCATTCATATGGCTTCATACTACATTTTTCTTAGCTTTCTGTTATGTGTAAATACCTTTGCATTCTGATATTCTGTAAACGAGCTTCAAAGTTTGATAGTCATGGGTATAATATCTTGAGAGGCATGAACCTTGTTTATACCACCTTTTAAATGAGAATTTGGCCCTTATAACAAATGGCATCCTGGCTGTAAATCTGGTGCTGAAGTACTGCATTACCACAGGGCATGTGGAGTATACTCATAAAATGGAGGTGTCTAAGAAAGCTATAAAATTATGTAAAGGATGTATGTTCTTACTCCAAAGTTTTGAACAACTAGCACAAGACTAGAAATCCCTCAAACTGTGTTTGTTCTCTGTGGCTACTGTCTCTGTCCTAGTTCTGTCTTCAGCTTATGCCCCTTCTTTTCTCAGTGACCACATTTGCGAATTTTTATTATTTATTGTTGTCTGTTGCTTGTGTCGTCTGAAAAATCAGCTGTGTGAGCCATAAACATCTCAAACCAGTTGTTTACGGTTTTTAAGCAATAGTCCTGAGAAACTGCAGAATGAATTACTGAAAGCCAGTTCTGTGAAGGTACATCTCAAGTCAGAGCAGGTGCCCAAGACCAAGTGAAACCTAACGCCATTGCAGAAAGTCTCCATTCCTGTTATATAAGCTCCAAATGGAGCAGACAGAAACCAGCCATTCTGAGACAGATGACTTTAGCATTCATGATAATGACAGTGACTGGGCTAATCTGTTCTCCAGCTGGTTTTTAACTCAGGTGACTACTCCAATTCACCCCCTTCTCATGCCAACTAAGAACAGAGCTATAGGGGTTCCAAATTTGGGATGTGAACAGGACATTCAAAAAGTCTCATTCTTGGCAAGAAATCCCTGGCCCTTGTGTGTTTTCTGGGCTCCAGCATGAGAAAGAGATGTGTGTTTGCACTTCTGTGGGTTTTGTCAGCACCTTGCACAAAATATTTCTGCATAAAATTAGAGGTTTCCTCTTTCATGGAGCAAAATGCACACATATAAAGCACAGAAGGACTGGTTGATTGACCAAAAGCTGTAAACCATTCATTCATTGTTTGAATGTAATTGTATCACTTTTTATTCTCTTTACAAGTTTTTAAACTAGCTTGAGCACTGCCTTTTAGTGGAAAGGTGAAGAATTAGAGATAGATAGATAGATAGATAGATAGATAGATAGATAGATAGATAGATAGATAGATAGATAGATAGATAGATAGATAGATTAATTTATCTTTGCTGCCACAGATGGCCACAATGTTCTTTCTGGGAACTAATTCTAAAGTCACAATCCTAATTGTCTTTCCCACGAACATAGGGATCTGTTGTTATGGCCTAAGTTCTTTCAGGAGAATGAAAGAGCATGGGGGATGTTCATTATCTTGTTGCAGAACTGGAAGTCACATTTCTGTGAATAGAGCAATCTTTCTTTGTGCAACGGTGAGCTGGAGATGAAGCAGACTGTTTGGACCAGATACACTCTTCTTTTGGTGACAGGATTCTGGCCTGGATATTTAAGATGGGTTGTACTTACTGCTTTCGTACCCCAACATCAAAAATCAGATCCAGTTTGGAGCATAAGAGAAATTCCATAAACTTTTCCTCACTCCAGCTGAATCTCTGTTGCATAACCATTCATGCGACCCCGTTTCACAATCAATTGACTTGACAGCATATTATTATTATTAGCTATTACTATTGTCATCTAGCTAGCCATCAGCCCCCTTGAAAGGATGAGTATCCAGCCTGGAAAATGTTTGTCACACAAGGCTTATTTAGATATTTGAATACACAAGAGGTGGGCCTCTGGGTAAGTCCTGTGTTCTGTCTTCCCATCCCCCCTGGAAGTCAGTCAGACTTTGCATGTTCAGCAGGAAGATCTAAACATTCAGCTGAATCAACCAAACAGATCCTGTGTTTATGAACTGCAATAAATCAATATTCCTGCTCACAGGAGCTGTGGAGTACATTTGCCCAATGCACAGTTTTGTCTGCAAGCTCTCATGCTGAATATGCAAAAGCATGACTGAGTTGTGTATGAGAGACATGGCTTATGCTACATATTCACATGCCCACCATGATTACATGATTAAACCAGAGA